AATTCCAAAAACTAATCAGCTCTTAACCTCAAAAAACCACGTCAACCGCTACTGGTCTGGTCAAAATCGGTTGATTCGTCCATGAGATATCGTTGTCGAAAAAAATTGGAAATAATCTTTTTTTCTAAATTTCTATAAAATTTTTGGTCTGACGAGTTCACGCTCTAAAATTTCTCACAAAACTGCGTTGAATGCCGTAAATCGCGAGAAAATCGGTTAATTCATTCAAAAGTTATTACGGTCGAAAAATTCAAAAAATTCGAAAAATTCAAAAACTCAAACACAAAATGAGTGAAATGTTGAGCGCTTAGATATAGAGTTAGCGGAAAGTTACAGGGATAGCTGTTAGGGTCAACCGTTTTCCTAATTTTTTTTCTTCGAAAAAATGAGTATTTCATAATATTTTTTTTTTTTATTTTCAATGAATTAATAATTATTTATTTTACAAATAAGTTAATGGAAAGTATTTACATGAATATTTAACTCCTCAGCTGAAAAGCAATGTCCGTATGCTTTTTTAATTTGATCAACAACTTTGAAAATGTTAAAAACAGAGAGAAAGCTCCTAAAAATACAAGCATCAATTTATTAGTTTCAAAATAACTGCTTGGAAAATGTATTTTACGGATTTTATTGCACGTAAATTGATTATTGAGCTCTTTAAATTGAAGAATTCAAAAATTTTACCGAAAAAGACGATTATTTAGCAATTTTTATATGGCTATAACTTTTGAATGCCCTATTAGATTTTGATTTACTTGGCGTCATTCACTGCCTTTTTTTAAGTGCAAGAAATATTTATCAAGTCTCAAGTCGATGGATTGAAGAAGTTAAAAATTATCTTAAAAAACGATTATTCAGAAATTTAAAAAAAATTGAAGCTATTTTATAAAACAAAACGAGGAAATTCAGTTTTCTGACAAGAGTTATCATGACTTTTTTTTTGAAAAAGTTTAATTCTACGATGTTAAATATATAATTATAATGTTTCATACAATGTGAAAATAAGAACTATAACAATATTAAATTGAAATCGCTAATCAAAAATCAAAATTCACAAATTTTAAAGAAACGTTTACGCTCTTTAAAAAAGACATAAAAGTTTGAAATAAAAGTAACAAAAGTGCTCCATAGGAAAACAAACTTAGAAGTAGAAAATAAGAAAATGGTTCTTAATCATTGAACTTCTATTTTCTACCGATAAATAAAGTTCATTAACTCCGTATCATTCATAAAAAATAAATAAATATAAAAGTCGTTGCTTCAAAAATAACCAAAATTCTTTTCAAAACGGTTCGGAAAAATTCAAGAAAAAAAGTGCCACTTGAGTGTCACTACTAGGGATAAATAGAATAGATCTATGTAGATATTTTATTTAGGTGAACGTAGACGTAAAAATTTCTTTTATGCGTTGGTAGGTCAAGAATAATAACTTTAACCGGTACAACACGTGACATTCATCAATTCATGTCTAGCGCTCTGCTGTATTGATTAAAAATGAGTGTATTATTATATGTTTTACCAGCTGCAATCGGAAGGTATTTGTATACAACTTAAGCTTTCTATTCAAGTCAATGTTTATTCCCTGAATAAAAAAAAGTATTGAGACAAAGAAAAAAGTATTGAAAAGTATTGGATTGACTAAAAAACTAATACTTTTCAATACTTTTTTCTTTGTCTCAATACTTTTTTTAATCAGGGTTGTTCTCACCTATTCTAGCTTATTAAAACTATTTTTTCGATTAAATTTTCACCATAAGTTATAGTTGTGAGAGTTGTTTACGTAGTAAATTGTTATTTTTTTTCGATTTTAAACAAAAGCTGTGGTACTAATGGACTTTATTATTTACCTTCAAATTAATCTTATTTTTTTTTTATCTTTAATGTTGATTTCTTGTTATGCATAGACATTTTGTTGTACTGCCTAAATTATAAAATTAATACAAACATAATAATAAAATTTCCTCTTATTTAAAAACATCTTTTATTGTAATTGAAATTATTTCAATTTTTATGTTGTTACACGCGAAAATAATTCAAAAATGTTACACAAAGAAACATGCTAAATTTATTAGTAGAATCTGGTCCTAACAAAAATCAACAAAGTTATTCCATCTTTCATGTTGTTAACAGTATCTCCTCGTTCATATTCACATCTAAACTGTATTGAATACAAAAAACAAGACGCAAGGTTTTACGTTGCATAATTTACTCTTCGAGTGAATAAAATTCACAACAGCTTTAATTACTAGTGACTGAGCTGTATAAATGGTAAACTCACCCGCTATCACGTTTATAACTGAACTTTATAACAAGTTACTGAACCTCAATCTTATGCGAGCATGCGTTATAAAGTTAGAGTCACATCGTGAAGAAAAGGATGTATGGAAATAAATTATTTTTTATATTATTTCTTCCAACAAAAGAAATTAATTTTTTTTATTTATAGCTGATTTATTATTTATTTATTGCTTTGTAATATCTTGAAACTTATCGTGATTTCATCTGTCTATATCGTATGTATTATACTTTTGCTGCATATAAGTATTAGGGTGTCAGGTATTGACCACAGTGATTACTTTGTCTACTGCGCCCTCTGAAATTCCAGCTTCCACTTAAAACATTCTGCGGCATACTAAAAGGAATTATACCCTGATAACCATGCAGAATAAAACTTGGCTTTAGATTGGACTCCAAGTTATGAAAAATCTACGACTGAAATCTAACTATAGTTTGATTCAAAATCTTGCAGTGCAGGAGTTTGAGTGAACCTGCAGTGAACTTTGAGATATAGAGACAATGTCTGTTGATACGGCAGAGCAGTACAGAAATTTTACTCTACCTGGGTAAAAAAATTTATATCTACATACTCGGTAGAAGTCTGACGCCAAGTACCGTTCAAACGCCAGCCTACCGAGTACTATTCGCTCCGAGGGCAACAGGGCTAGCACTCGAGGTGACAATTTTAATAACTTCGTACCCAGAAAATCCCATGTTATTTCCCATAAGACGCGACATCTGCGATAAAAATTGGAACTTCACTCCCACTCACGGATATACACAGACGCGTAATACACTTACATTTTCTGTAAGTGTATTAGTTGCCCTCGGAGCGAATACCGTAAGCAGAGCCTGATTTTAGGGTTAGAAAATTTTATGTATGTATTTATTATAATAATTATATAAAAGTTATGTTTTTTAATAATAGATTACATCTTAATAAACTGTTAATCATTTACTTTTTACATACTTTTTAATGAATTCTATTTTTAATTAATAAATTTAAGCAGCACAAACTATAGCAACGTAAATTTTTAGTTTTAGAACTTTTTTCGGTGCAAAATCTGACATCCATAGACTATAAAAAATGCTTATGTGCAATAATTTCATAGGTAGACCGGAAACTCCAGTCTAAAATTGAGTTTTAACAGTTTCTATTTCTACACACTAGAGTGCGACGCGAGAAATTTTACATACACTGTAGTAACTGGATAAGTAAACTTTAGGCGCCAAGTTTTAGAATGGCAGATGTAACTATGGGATTATCTGTTTCGGTCATTAAGGGCCAGATTTTTCTACACAGGATTAAAATTATTATATTTCATAAAAAATTTATTTATAATAATAATTTAAGGATGTGTCCACGTTCATAAGACTCATTTAAATAACATTGGCACTTTGCAAAAAGATGTGAAATCCGAACAAAAACAGTTTCACTGTAAAAAATCGCGCCAAGTCCACGTTCATAAGACTTCCCGGGAAAAAATGATCAGATCTGATCAGATATGAACAGGCATGAGTCTTCAAGCCTGATCAGACATGAAAAATGACCGGGTCTGATCAGACCTGGCCAGGCATGTTCATGTCTGATCAGAACTGTTCATGCCTGACTCGATTAGGTCCATAAAAAAAAAAAAAGATTGGTGCCGACGGGGATTCGAACCATGTACGTTGCGCTCTTCAGACTGATACTTTACCTATTGACCCAATGACTTATCTTAATTCTAGAGTACCTTTTAAACTACTTTAAGTAATTTAAATTTTATACATGACTTATCCTTATAGTTAACGGAGTGCTATACTTAATTAATTAATTAATTATTAATAATTAATTATACACCGTAAAAAATTTCGCGTCATAGCGTCAAACAATTTTGTGTTAAAAATTTTTATGTTAAATATTTAACACTTTTTTGTGTTCATTTAACAGAATAAATGTTAAATTTACACATAAAAGTATTAAATATTTAACACAAAAATTTTTAACACTAAGATTTTTGACGCAATGACGCAAAATTTTTTACTGTCTATATTTGAATGATTTATTTGGGACGGCTATGTATTTTATTCGCTCCATTAACATATGGTTCAATGTAAAGTAAAAAAAACAATTTCTTCAAGGTTTATTCCGTAATTATAATTTCATTGTTTTCTTTAAAAATTGAAGTTTTGTTTAATAAAAACGTATAGGAAATGAAGAATTACGCTGGAATTACGAAGGAGAAGTACGCTGAAATATTGCGTCGTATAAAGCAGGCCGTTCCCGACGAACAGGTCCGCACAACCGTGGAAAAGATCCACAAAACCAAAACCGGGAACATGCTGATTACGCTCTCAAAGAAGAGTATTGACAAAGGTCAAGCCTTGCAAAAGGCCATCACAGACGTTCTTCAAAAAGAAGCTGAAGTAATTTGCAAAGGACCGCAGGAGATGATCGAAATTCGAGACATTGATGATGACACGACAAAGGAGCACATTCAGACTGCCCTGAAAACAGAAACCGGAGAAACTTGCGAAATACCACCAGAGGCTACCAAGATCCGTAAGGCCTACAGAGGTACACAAACGGCTACAGTGACGCTACCAGCGACAACTGCACAGAAGTTACCAGAAGGTAACAGCAAAGTGAGAATTGGCTGGGTCAACTGTCGAATAAGAGCAACGAAGAGACCTGCCCAATGCTTCAAATGCTGGCACTTTGGATCTCAGTGCAAAGGTGAAATCGACCGATCTAAGCTCTGCATAAGATACGGAAGAGAAGGACACAAGATTGCTGAGTGCAAAAATCCAGCCAAATATGTATTATGCACTGACGATCAAAGTGCGCAGGACGCGGCCCACCATGCTGGCACATACAGATGCCCGTTCTTCAAAGAGG